CAGAAATCCCTGTTCTTTACAGTGAGAGGGAGAAATGGGGTGGAGGGGGTAAAAGAGCAGCAGGGAAGTTGGAGGAAACCAGACGTGACAAGTGCTGAAGCAGAACTTTTCAGCTTTGTGGTGGCTTCTCGCCAGATGAGATCACAGCTCCTACGGAATCTTGTCTCCTTTTATTTCCTTACTATTTGACTTTCTTGCTTCCTTAAGAAGCAGGAATTGCTAATCTTCAATCACTTGCTTTGAATACTGTCTGCATCTCAAACAACAGTGCAAACAGAGGCAGAGGGGGGTGACTGACAAATGCCAGTGTTTGTGGCCTGCAGTGGAACCCCTCTAAGCCTGTTTGGAAACCAAACTGGGGACAGAGCCTGGATTAGAAGAGACTTTTCCAGCTCTCATCCTTGTGAATTTATGCTAAGATTATTAAAAGGGAGGTGGGAGGGGGGATGACTTGGCATGCCTCCTTTCTTGTGGTCAGCGTTCAGTATTGTAAATTAGCTAAAGGGTCTGAAAGTGGATGAGCACCCGTCGTCTGAAAAATGGGTCCATTTTGAATGTCTGAAGTTAAGCATCTAAATCCCTCTTAAGAGGGCCCTTGGACTGGTACTGACTCTGTAGATGTGCTTTATGCTTGACTGATAGTAACCTTGCATAAATAGGCTGGTGGACCGTCACAAAACGTGGGGTCCTATTGCTTTGCCTTTTGGGGGGATTGTATAAAGACAGGCGGGCAGAAAACATGCAGCTTTCTATGCCCTGGGGAGAGGGGAGGAGAGAGAGTAAACACTCTGCCCGGAAACATGTACGTGCTGCGTGCAGGCTCTGCCTGTGGGAATTAAGGGAGACAATGCAATAGATAATGAACAATGAACGTCTGTAATGTACAGCAACAAAGCCAAAGTAACCCAGTGTGCCGCAGAACAGAGAAAGAGACTGTTAAAACAGCAGCCTCATGAGGTAGAAATCCTGCCAAGCCTGCTTAGAGGACAATCAACAAGCCCTCCTCAGCTGGAAGACGGCTCAATGTGGTGGAAAAGGGAGTAGAAGAGAGTGGGATGGAGGAGGAAGAAAGAGGCATCCCCCAGGGGCCCTTTGCAGGATTAAAAAAAAAAAAAAAAGTCATCCTCCTTCTAGTTAGTCTTGTTGTGAATTCAGATTTCAGCACAGTCAACACAACACTATGTGCACTGCAACACAAGAGGCTGTTGAATGAAATTAAACCCTTTATCTGAAACAAAGTGGAATCCAGGTATTTTGCTTTACATTCACCTGGAAAGCTGGGGCTTGCTGTGATGTCTCCTGTCAGTGCTCCTCTGCGGTTCTGCTTCAGCATAGGGTGCTGGGAGTGGAATGGCCTGCTTTAAAGAATAGGATATATGTAACTCGGGAGCACCTGGATGCAGAAGATACTCTATGAACTTCCAGTTCTGTTTGGAGCCACCCTTACAACACCAGCTGGCTGCCCAGTGACCTCTGAGGTGCATGTACTACAGACATTACCTCTTCATGAGAGCACATGCTGGGCGCACTCCCTTGAAATCCCAGTAACTTTACTGGCTGACGCACCTGCCTGCAGTCAAAAGGACACATCATAACACTCCTTTCACTTATTCATAATGTCCCAAGCCTGTATGTAGGGGGCTAAGCACATGGTCGCAGTCTGTGCATGAAAAGCCATTGGAAGCAGAAAAACGAGTAGGAACCAGGCTAATACAGGAATAGCAGCTGTGGAGTAGGTCCCGGGAGAGCAGGCTGAGCTGAGAGCTCGCTGTGCCACAGGAGACCAGCGCTCATCGCTGCACTGTGTGTGGCGCAGGACCAGCAGCGAAGGAGTTGGTGTCAGAGGCCCAGCTGTGTTGGTCTGTGCCTCTAGGAAAAGCTCCTTTTGCAGGACAGAGCTGGGAAAAGTGGTTCCCACCAGCTCCTCCAGCATGAGGAAGCAGCACCCTCTGCTGCTGGCATGCTTGTCTCCAAAGCACTTTTTAGTTACAGACACCTAAGCACTTCCAGAGAGAAGCTCAGGAAAAACATCTACAGCAGTGTCCCTCTGTAAGTCAAAACACTGCAGCGTGTGGGTGGTTTGTTTGTCAGACAGTTCGGATATGTCAAAATACTGCTGTTGGGAAAGGAGATGCCAGGCAGGATCTGCTTGCAGCAGATAACAGCAGTAAGAACAGGCTTTGAGCTGAAAAGATTTTGACGGCTGCTGTTCCTGGCAAGTACTTTGGCTGATATTGTTTGATGAACATGACTCGATACACACAACAGGGAGGCTGTAGGATAAAGCTCTCTATTCCTCCAGCAGCTTTTCTCCGGCCTCTTCCAAACATTTCATATCCCCACGAGGCAGCTAATTTACTATTGCTGCATAGCGAGAGGAAAGGGGAACTCAGGCAAGCGACGTGACTCACCCACAGCAAGGCAGTGGCAGAGTCCTGCCCCTTCAGCTCTCTCCTGCTAACCACAGACCCGCAGTTCCCATGGGACTGGGAACACGAGGCAGGAATCCCATCTCCTCCCACCCCTAAGCAATCCTACCGTGGGGCACACAGCGGGATGCTGTATCGCTACCAAACTGCCTCCCTGGAAAGCTGTGGGATGACGTGTCCATGCAGTCAGAGGAATCCTAGCCACCCGTGTTTTTTCCCCTCCCTTTTGCTGAGGACTTGTTGCTTTTCCCAAATTAAGCTGTTTAATTAACATCAGTCACGTCTATCCCACAAGTGCATTCCCAATGGGATATGCACACCTCAGACACTGAGCACTTGGCCTTTTCCTCTTATTTCCTCCCTCTCCTTGAATGCAGACTGCCCTCTTCCCTAGCATCTGACCCCAGGTTTCCCTTCTTCATGTGGGAAATGAGCTAAACTCGGTACCAGCTGCAGTTCCAGCCCCCCACAACTCGGCCAGAGACATATATATATATCTCTGAGTTCCCCTTCTGCCCCCTCTCCCATCTCATGATCTCCCTCTCTTCCCGCTTGTGAGCAGCAGAGGGGAGCGGAGCTTCCCCAAATCTGCACACACACTGTGCCACCCATAAAATATGCCCACATAAGAAAAGCAAAGCATGAAAAAAAAAAAAAAGCCCGAATCCTGTTAAAAATAGGCTGGGATCTACCAAAAAGAACCTGCTTAACAGTTTGTGTGTGCGCGCAGGTCTCATTTCAGCAACAGCAACGCTGCTCGCAGCCAAACATCATTCACACAAGACACAGATTGTTTTGTGGATAAGGAGATGCCTACGAAAAGGGAGCCTTGTTGAAGGAAAAAATGAGGCGATGTCTGGTCAGAGCGCCACCAGGACATAGTTTCTGCGGGAAATTCCTCTCTGTAGAGCAATCTGTCAAAGGAGAGCCAACATGTCCTGCCGCAGGGAGCAGTTTGAGGGCACAGGCCTGGCAGGGTCTGCAGTGGTGCTTGCAGGAGAACCTGGTGCTGCATTGCTACAGGACGTCATGCCAGCTCTCTGCAGGGGGAGCAGCTGGAATGAACCGGAGCGATTCACATTACCCACAGACATTTCACAAGGCCGCTTGGTTCAGGATGCCTCTGGCTTCTGAAATGTGCTGCTTTACACTCTCTCCCCTCCATCTCCTTTCTTGCCCCTTTTTAGGCAACAGCCACATTTTCAGTCTTTTTTTGGGACAGGAAGGCAATAAACCAAATCCCTGCTAAGGCAGGCAATGACTCCAAAGGCACAAATCCTAAGGATTGCCCCAGACTGTGGCCAAAGGAGAAGTCAAGCACAGCACCAAAAAAATTTGTTTTGAAAAGCATTAAAACACTGAAAATTTTGCTGCTTTTACCACCACTGCCTCTGCTCCCTGTGTTTAGGAGTATCTCTCTTCAGTGATGTGCAGTGGTATCTGAACTAGAACAAAACTCTCTCTAAACTACAATTAAATCACTTCTGACCTGGAGAGGAAAATACTGTCCCAGCCCTATGACATGACTGTTTTATCTCCTGACTTGTACAGCCATCTTCAAACGGATGGGTCACTTCGATAATTCTGCACCACCAACAGCAGCAGAGAGTATCCCACACACATCACAGCAATGTACCTGCCCACCCAGGGGAGCTCTGGGGGGGATCTGGACACTGAAGAGAAAAAGACCCACAGCACTTGGTGCTAAGAAATGCTCTGCTACGTTAGCTGCCCCGGGAATCCACTGAAAACCCACAAGTCCGTGAATGACAGTGCCCTTTCAACTGCACTCAGGGGAACTGGCATTTGGGAATCTAGCAAGGAAACATCTGATTTAAATCCTATTCTCTTGCCAGGAAAATGAACCCTTCCCTTACGGCAATAGGATGCTCCTCCTCCCCTTCCCAGGGTACACTGTACCTTTTCTTTCTATGTAACGGAGGCGCCAAGCAAGACTTTCCTTTCACCAAGGAAGAAGTGGCTGGTTCTAGACAGGAACGCTTGGGTACTAGCTAAACCAGAGGCCAGGCCTCTGGGCTGGGACCCTGCCTAATGCTGTCCTAGCCAGATGCATAGCATAGCTTGTTCTTGAAGTTCAACTGCATAATCTCAGCTCACAGATCTTGAATAGATTATAGTTAAAAATGCAGCTCTATAAAGTCTATGTTATTAAGCAACTCTGTACTATGGTGATAGCATCTATGGAATGCAACTCAGGGAGTAAATGTGGATCATGGAGACTTTCCTAAGGCCTAAGCAATTTCAGGACCCTACATAGTATTGGGTGATTCCATCTTCTCACTTTAAAAGGGCTTTGGCTGTTCCTCTGTTCTGAAAAGTCCTGGCCTTGTTTGGATGATACACAAAAGAGAGACTGAACATTTAAGACTGCTGGTTTCATACTACAGAAAATTCAACCTTCTTTGCTTTGTACAACTAAAACTTTAGAACTTCACTCACCGAGAGGAGAGGAGAAGAACCAGAACCATGACCAACCTTTACAAGAAATTAAAATACACTTTTGTTAAAAAGTATTTATTTTGTTTAATGAATAGATAATTATATTTATACAACACAAAAGCAATCACAAAACTTTACTCATAGGAAAATATTATTTTACAACTTGATTTATAAAAGTTGAAATGAAAAATTACTTACTTCCAGTGTTAGTTTTCTGTAAAACACAGAAATAATCATACCACTGAATTCTAGAAATGCACTTGCCATTTAAAAAAATAACAAAATTGATACCAATAATCACTTAGGAGAGAAACAGACTATAACAAGTTACTCCATGGAGTTGCTTTTGCAAAGAAAGGTTAATACAAGCTCTCAAGAAGGTGCACACCTCCTATTAATAGCTTTCACAAAATAAAAATAGCACTGCTTCCCTGGCCTATAGCCCAGTGGATTTCTATCATTCTTATTCATCAGATTTGTTGCTCATTTAACCCTTCTTCCCATCTGCAGTCTTCCTCCTGCCAGTCACAAATTTTACACATTTAAAATTTTTTTTTTCATTTGGCAAATGCTGAGTTTAACAGGAATTGTCTGTGCAAAAAGAAAACACAGTTCTAAAAAGAAAAACCCCAAACAACCCAGACAGTTATGTTCATCAAGGAAAATGTGTGTAAGCTTTTACTGGATTTTAATAAAATCTAGGATTAATTTTGGGGCGAGCCATTAGTAAACCCTATTTTCAGCTGGAAAGAAGAGTGGCTCTCTGGGAAAAAAACCCAAACCATCCTTATTTAAAAGTGCAAATAAACCTCTCTAAAAAATCAGTGTTTATTTCAAAAGGTGCCAGGGAAATATTAACAAGAAAGCATGCAGAAATAACACCAGTGCCACAGTCATCTGTAAAGTAATAAATTCTGTCATTCATAATAATATATTTATTCTCACATAGGTCAATTTTTCATTAAAACGTGTTCCCTCACACCCAATAGAAAAGAACTGGAATGAAGTTAACATGGCTATTTTTGTTTAAAAACGAAAAATTATGTTTGAATTTATGGACATACCAGACCTAAAACATCTTCCTCTGCACAGCTGTTTCAGCCACTGTGGTGTATTTTGGAGCCAGCGTTTGCTAGCACTCATCTACGAAGAGAGTTATTCCAGAAGAGTTTTACAGTTAACTCCTAAGCGTAATGCTCTTACTCCAGACTCCACTGTCAGCACATCCACTTGACAAGCAAGTCCTGCAGCACTCACCTTCCTCCCGCTTTTCTATGCTACTCTCCTCCCCTGTGATTTATTTTCACCCTTTGTTGCTTGTGCTGGTAGTTAAGCCTGTCTGTAACCATGAAACAGGCAGAAGCAAACTTACTGATAAACACCCACAAGAGATGGGTAACCAGCCATCCCGGCTGTCAAATCAGACCAGTTAAGGCACTTGGTGTCTCTTCTGTGTTTGAGCTTTTGAGAAAACGACTCCACCACAACTCCCTTCCTTTCCCATGCAAAAGCAAAGTGATGAGCATCAGGGCAACTCAGCTCACCCCAGTCAAATACAATATGTAAAATGCAGCTTTTCTGGAGGGTGTCTGCCAGAAATCACAGCCAGTCCCTGAGAATCTGGCCTTTCCCTGCTGCACACAGCTTCTGTGCCAGGTTATGTTCTCCCTGGCTCTGTTTGCCTTGGGACAGCTGACGAGTAACAGGCTCTCTGGAGCTTGCTCAGCGCACTTTCATCTGTGCAATTAGCAGCGGACAATTCCAATTTCTGCATTAAGCATTACGCCGAAAGGCAACAAGTCCCTGGGAACCCAGGAGCACAGGCTCTACGGACCTGCCCACCTCACTTCACTTCCTATCCGACTGTAGCACCTCTTTGTACCTGGATTTCACACTTCATCGCTCGGATTCCGCAGATCCCTGTGTAGGGAGGGATGTGAAGCCCATGCCTATCGCCCAGCTCTCTAAAGCACAGTCTCCTTCCTTCCCTGTGTTGGGTTTCAGGTCCCTCAGGGCTCACCAGACTCCCAGGTCCAGCTCCTGAGGATCCCATTTTTCCCTTGTGAGGCTCCAGGGCTGTGAAGGGTGGCCAAGCCCAGCCCTTAGTGCTGCTTCTCGGGGTCGGGGCACCAGCTCCTCCCAAACCCCCAGGCCCTGTGTCACCTCAGTCCCCACCATCTCCACCCTGTCACCCACACACAGTACTTCTCTGTGGAAACAGGGCCAGCATTCACAGGAAGAGAGAAATCCCCTTCAGAGCGGCCTCCGCTCCTGCGCAGAACCCTCCCTGCGGGCAGCCAGCACCACATCCACCTCCCAGCTTCCCACAGCGGGTCTGTCCCTTCCTGCTGCCACCCCAGGGGATGGGTTTGTCTCTAGCCTCCACATGGACCATCAGCCCAGATTCTCCCATCCTGTGCTCTCTTGATTTCCTTACCAAAAGCTGCACTCTGGTGTGCTGTGGTAAATTACACATCAGAGAAGATTACGGAGCATTTGGGGACATCACAAAAACAGAGAGACACCCACTGTGCATGGCAGTATTCTGGAAGGTGAAAATTAGGGGAGAGTAGGGTCTCTAGGTAGGACCAGACGTCTTCAACACTTTCTGTGAGCTACGCATTTCTATAACCACTTAACATTGTCCTGTCAACACGGAAATGCAATTTGCTAGTTCCGTGTGCCCAAGAGATGTGTACAGAGAAAATTCCCTCCCCTTATAAAACAGAGTTCAAACCCCACCACCACCATCCGCAAACACTGTAACTACCTCAGTGTGTGCTGTAATGACGGATACACTGAAAAGTTTATAAAGCTGCCTCCTGTAGAAATTTTACAAGCCACTGAATGACACTGAAAGCTTCACTTCTAAGGAGAGAGAAAAGTTCATTTCAGAGAATGAGACAGAGAGAGGCAGTTAAAGAAAACATCTCTTCACCAGCTAAACCCAAACAACTCCTCTGAACATAAAGCTTCTCCCTTAATAATTATTGCACTGCAAGCAAAGAACAGCTCTGTGAACTGCCATATTCCTCACCCTGTCCCCATTATTCTAACAGCCTAAAAGAGTAATGTGTCTTTCTCTTCCATCCCCCATGGTATCAAACATCCACGTAATGAAAACAGCAAATTACCGCTTATAAACTGCTTATAAAATTCTGGGCAATTTGCAAAGAATCAGGAGACTGCAGTGAGCCCACAAATCAGCGTTAGCATTTAGGGGCCACATGCCACAGAAGCAAATGGGTGCCTACCCTTCCAGGAGAGCACAGCCATAGTCAGTGGCTGCCTGACACCAAGACGGGCTGCACGCACAAGGCTACGGACCCATGTGCACGGAATCATCATTTTACCAAGATGACTCTGCTCCAGCCAGACTGAGTATGGGATGAGCATGTTATTACTGTCTTCTAACCTGAGAATTTAAAAAAAAAAAAAAAAAAAAATTGGCAGGTACTTGATTTAAGTCTCCCATAGTGCCTGCGAGGTAGTTAAAGGCTGTTAGCCACAAAGGTCTGACGGGGGAAACTGAGGCACTTCAAGGTGAGGTAATTTGTCCGAAGTCACAGTCAGAATCCCTAGCAGAGCCAGAAATGCCACACTGAGCTCTTGGCTCCTATGTAGCTCTGAACACTGAGCCGAGCTCCTTTCCTGGCTCAAATGTCAGAGGCACGGCAGGCCACAGATTTCCCAGAAGGTTAAAGAAGTCTGTCAGAGATGAAGCTGCTGCTGGCAACAGAAAAACATGGACACTGTGTAGGAAAATCCAGGCTGTAAGGGCCACGCAGACAAGGGAGGAGGGACACTGTGAAGGCATCACCCAAGCAGAGCTTCATAATCCACATACCACACCAGGTGGCCAGAGCTGGGGTTGACACCTGAGACAGGCCATTTCCTGGGCTCATGGCCCACTCTGCTGAGGAGGGTGGTGATGTCATGCTTACCCCTCCCCAAAACCAGCACAAACACCTGCCTGGCCTTGTTGATGAGGGGTAGGCTAAGGCTCATCCTTTGGTGAGGTCTGACAGGGCTTTCAGTCAGCACCACAGTCTGAGCCCCTTCCAAGCCGTTCTCAGAGTGGGGGAAGAGCGAGGCGGTGTGCCCATCAGTGCCCACCCCCAGCAGCACCAGGTCAAAGCTGGCATTGGCCACCAGGGCCAGGATCTCCTTGGCATACAGCTCCGTGCCTCTGTCCTCCTCCACACAGAGCCGCTGGTTCAGGTGCACAGGCATGGGGTGGATGTTGAAGTAGGGCACCCGGACACTCTGGAGGAGGTGGCTGTGCAAGCTGAAGAAGTTGGACTCGGTATCAGTGAGAGGGACACAGCGTTCATCCACCAGCCAGATGTGGGTGTGCTTCCACGGGAAGGCATAATGGTGTCTTGCCAGCTGCTGGAATAGGACCACGGGGCTTGAGCCACCCGAGAGGGCCAGGTGGAACTGCCCAGAGCGTGCCACAGCCCTGCTTGCTGTCTGCTCGATGTCAGAGGCCAGCTGGGAGATCAGGGCCTCAGACCACGCTGAGACCAGGGGACGTTGCCGAAATTTGGACTGGATTGCCCTGTAATCACTTGGCATCGGCCTGCTGGGGTTCAGCAGTTCCACTGGCTCTGCCAGTATGAATGCCACTTCCCCACGCACCATTTCAAAGTCTAAGAGGTGCTGGTTCTCTGCACCCCCCGGGTAGAGGCGCGGGGGCTGGTGGGAAATGCTGTCCAGCAGCGGTGTCCAGAACCCCCAGGAGGCCAGCAGGTTCTCGGTGGTGATGAAGAAGTCCTTCCTACCATGGTAGATGTTGGAGATGAGGACAGAATACGCATCTCTCTCTTTCACAGGCCTGTACACATAGTAATCAGACAACGATTGTCCAAAAATGTGCAGGTCCGACTGACCCACTGCTTCTCTCCAACTGCCTTCTGGCATGACAGGCCTGAACAGGTTCCTGCTCACAAGCACCGCAGGGGTGTTGAGTGTGCCGTGCCCGATGTAGAAGATGATCTGCTTGGCTTTACACTGGCTGTACCCTGCATCCCTCAGAGTCTCTCTCTGAGTGCAGTAGGCCCGGTTCTTGAAGAGAACACGGACATAACCTACCCGTTCATCCAGAGCTTTCCCAGAAGTGAGGAGGAAAGGGACCCCTTCCCAACGCAGGCTGTCACTGTGAACCAGCACACCTGAAATGACAGTGATCTCAGCTACCAAATTCAACCTGAACAGCAAGCAGATTTAAGGGGATCTATCACCCATCCATCATACTCCTTCCTTAGCTCCCAGAAAATCGTGGCATCCACTGTGTCTCTTGCTCCATTCAGCCCTGTCATGACATCACTGAACTAACTGCTCTCCAGCTACCCTGCTGTGCTTTCCTCCCAGGTATCCTACTTTTGATCGCCTCCTTTCACCTTGCAGGAAACTACCTTCTGAGCACACATACCATTCAGACAAAATCTTTAATGTTCAGAAGACCCAGTATGGCCAGAGATGGCCTTGTGTTGTCTACTAATCACAGAGAACATCCAATGCTTTGCCCTTCAGATGCAGAGAGCAACTCAGTTTTATGAAAAGGCAAAGGCGTTTGCAGGCCACTTCTGAAAATAACTCAGAGGTCTTACCGAGAATAATGAGACTTAGCTCTTATGCAATGCTTCCCATTCACTGGATTGTTAATTAACTAACATGACAGCAGTATTATCTTGTTACAGCTCCCAGTTACCATGCTGGTGGATGCCTAGAGAAATCCCTGTGTCAGCAGTGAGGTCACGGGGCTGGTATCAGCATGCAAGGACTCACATCCCCTGCTCTCCTCAGCTCTAGACTACTCCTTTCTCCTGGGCCCAGACCAAACTCTCACCTGCAAAGGTTGGTGTTGTGCTGATGTAGTCCTGTGCCTTCTGCAGTTCCTCCTGTACTTGGCTGGCATATGCCTGATACTGACCCAACACAGCACTGTTTTTTTCTAGGCCCTGCAAGGACTGGAAGGCCTGCAGCTTGCTCTGCAAAACGTCTTCAGCCTTGCTCACGTTGGCTGGGAGCTCCATGGTCAGGAACATCAGGGCCTCTGTGAGGTGGTTCTGCAGCACGTCCCGGATGACTCCATACTGCTCATAGAAGCTGGTGCGGCCTGAGGACAAAGAGGAGGTAAGACACTGGTAAACAGATATGGTTTTCCTACAGCCTTGCCCTCTGCATGCATAACGTGTGTGTCAAGGAGAACAAAGAGCACAAGCCTGAACTGGTTTGCACCAAGCTTCTCTTCTGGCCCAACAATGAACTTGAAGCTATCAAGCCCACAGAGGCTGTGAATGCCTCATCTCACTGGAAGGGTTCAAGGCCAGGCTGAACGGGGCTTTGCACAACCTGACCCAATGAAAGAGGTCCTGCCTGTTGGACCAGATGATCTTCAAAGGTCCCTTTCAACCCAAACAATTCTATGACTCTATGATACTAAGCCTTTATTCTCCCTCCAGAGGGACTTTCAAAATGCCTCTGCTGCTAAAATAAAGACAAAAGGTTCCCACAGGACTGCTTGTCCTCCACAGAGCCAGACATAATCCTCCCTTTGGGTGCTCACAGGGCCTAAACCCAGCAGGAGTAACGCTCTTGCCTGATACTTGCCAAGTGCACAGAGCAGAAGGCAGCTTTGCTTTCTGAGACTGCTTGTGCTTTCAGAAGCTGCAGTCAGTGACTGGCAGCAATATCCAGTTCAAGCCTCCCACATCCAGCATGGTGCAGGGCCCCTGTACAACCCGCGTGACACTCCTGTCCCACAGGTCACAGCACCTGGACCTGGGACTCCACACAACGTGCAGTTCTATGCAAAAGCTTTGACAGAGTGGCTGGAAAGCAGGGTGAGAGCAGGGACTCCATCAGCTCTATAGCTACACACCAGATTCACAGACCGGCTGAAGCTGGGCCCTGGCAGTGAACGCTGCATTCCACTGTCTCTTTTCCCCTGGTTACAAGGTCCTCAGAGGGCTCTGGCTGAGCCATGCCCTTGAGAGACAAAATTTCACGCACAAAGCCCTGCTTCTCTTTCCCTGCCTGACTTCTCATGCAGGTGGAAACAGAGGAGGAGGACACTGCACTTACAAAGAAAGTGACTCCAACAGATGCCTTTCGGTAGTCCAACAGCAGCAGGCTGCACACTGCAGACTACATCACAGCCACAGGCTTCCCCTATTGATTGATACATTTATCTCCCTTGCTCTAATCCAAAGGCACATTCATTAAAGTAATCAATGCTGCAGACTTGCTGGGAGCCAGGCTGCCAGATGAAGCCGCACAGGGGAAGAAAGATGTCAAATGAAAAATTACAAAGTTGTTCAGAGCAGGGAGGGTACAGGGTGTAGCGGGAGCTGCACACAGACAACACTGTTGTCCCTATATCTCTCTGCAGTGCTTCCCTCTCCCACAAACAGGCCCAGGTGAGGTCTGGGCTGCCAAACCAAAGATTACGCCAAGTTTGATAAAATTGCATTAATTGAGTTTGTGGTGGCTGAGGAAGGAAGGAGGGAGGAGAAAGACAGAAGAGGAGGTAAAGCGAGTGGAGAAGCAATCCTGATGTTGCAGAACTGAGGGCGCCTGACATCGCAAGAAGTGCTGCGGGTGGCAGTCCAGCCCAGAGTGCTTTATGCTGAGCACTGCAGAGCGGATGCTGCAGCATTGCAGGGAGAGATTGCAGCCGTGTCCTTCAGCAGGAGACCCATGCTAGCAACTCTGGGCTTGGATTTTCTCTCTGCAATGCTCTTTCTTACTACAGAGAGGAAAGAAACAGGCAGACAAACGCAGACTGACCCATGTACCTGGGCTGACACCAACTAGCTGATACGAGCAACATCCCAGCAAAAAGATGTAAGAGCATCTTCCAAAGAATAGCTCAAAGGTATATTCTGTATGAGCTTGGTAGCTAACAGGATAGGAATATGAAAGGGTTGTTGTTACAACCACCAGATTATTGCAGCACTGAACTGAAGTGGCCTTAGAATGCATCAATTCCAAATCTAGTGCCTTTAACCAAAATTTGGGATAGAAAACTAGGTGCAATGTCCCCAAAGCTCTGCAGCAGAGTGGGGGATTCTGACCCTGCTCCCAGCAATGGGAATCTTTTCTTGGAAGCAGCAACACTACCCAGAAGTGAGTCAGTTCCTAGCATAGGAAGTGTAAAACAGTCCCTCTCTATTTCCAGAGAGCAACATATCATTCATCTGCTCTTTTTTGTTTCTGCACCAGAGCTACCTCAAGGGCCACGTTCACATAATTAATGGACCTGCCAGTTCTCCTTCTCACTCATTCACCCTAGCTCTGCACACTCGCTTCACCAACCTTTAGCATCCACAGTCTCTTTCAAGACAATCTCCACTCTTTCCACATGATGTCGGTTCCAAATTGGATCCAGAAACTGTCGGTTCTGATCTCGAAAAGGCAGGATATGGGCTACAGCCTGTGAAGGGAAAAATCAAAGACCCAACAAAAACTCACCAGATTGCCACACTATCTCTGCCTCACTGTCCCATCCAGCACTGGGGTAGGGCCAGCTCTGGAGTGCCAGCAGACATGCCACACCACAGAGAGCAGAGTGGGTCAGAGAAGAGAAAAATCAGCAAGAGAGCCTGCAGTGATGCACAGTGGGGTCTCCAGTGACCATACAGAGCAGACATTAAAGGTCTTTCTGAGGCATTTTGATGTTCCATGTGAAAAAGGCTGAACTACAAACTGCAAGGCACTCAGTTTATATCCGTCAAAGGACAAAGGGCTGAGTCAGACCATCCTGGGACTAACGTACGATTCCAAAGTGCTGAAATACATTAGATCAGATGCTTACACCACTAAAGCCATCTGCTCTTTTGGGGAGGAAAAAAAAGAAAGAAAAAAAAAAAAAAGGAGAAGAAATCCCCCTTCTTAATAGAGATACTCTCCTTGCAGCTCGACATGCAACCTTCTGCGTAAAATCTGTCCACAGTGCCATGGCTGCTTTCAAAATGTGGCATCACATTCCTCTAAAACAAGGATGGCACGTCCTTGAACACATTCCCTCTGGGACAATGCAGCTCCACACCCTGAGCTGCCCCTGCAGCAGCCAATTCTCCATGGCCTGAGTGGAACACAGGGCAGGAAGAAACCTTCTCCTAAGCATCCCACAAAACTAACATCGCATCAGCTCCGTATCATATCAAATTAAAAACTGCTTCTAGAAGCCATGGCTAAGCAGAGAGGCCTGTGTGTAATGAGATGGGAGAACTGTGAGAGGGAAAGGGCATTGCTTATTCAGCGAAATCAAAGCCCTGACCTTGGTGAGAAGACCAGATGAATTCTGCATCTCTCCTTCATGCACACACACAGTTCACACCTACACCCTGGCCTCCCTCCGGAGAGGGGACTCTCATCACTAACAGGAGAAAGCCCTGCTTTGGTCTGCACGTCTCCTCTGCTCTGGAATAAGATGGACAGCAGCACAGCACTGGACAAGAATAACAATACAGGATTCCATCAGCAAATGGTGGCAAGTGAGCAGCACGCTCAGTGGCCCTGTCTGATTTTGAGAGGGGAACAATGCTCTCATTAGATGCAGACCTGACATCCAACACTCCTCCAGCCATCAAGTCCCTCAGCGTGGCAGGGGGCCGTGCATTGCAAGCTGCTCACCTGTTTGCCAAGGTAGTGATCCACCCGGTACATCTCTTCTTCCCTGAAGAAGCTTGTCAGCTCTGCAGCCAGCTGCTGGGCTGATGCCAGGTCATGGCCAAAAGGCTTCTCCAGCACCACACGCAACCAGGCTCCCGGAGGCGGTCTGCAGCTGCTGTTGATGTGCCGGGCAATCTCTGTGTAGGCAAATGGTGGTACTGAGAAGTAGAAGATCCTTCCAGCTTCCTTCAGCCCCTCCTGGCGAAGCAGCGTCTCAATCTCGCTGTTCAGCAGAGTGTAGTTTTCGGCAGTCTTCAGCTGGTGGTATTGGCTCAGCTTCAGGAACTGGTCCTTGAGCACAGCACATCTGTCGGGAGATTCATCTGGGGGACAGGCCAGCTTCTTCAGCACATCAAACATCAGCCTCTGTCCCGGCTCCAGAGCTGTCAGTGCAGCCCCATGGAAAGTGAAGCTGTGGCCATTGCTCACTTGGTCCATGTAGAGTTGGAAGAGACCCTGCCACAAATACTTCTTGGCCAAATCACCTGTGGCTCCCAGCAAGACCACTGAAATGTGGCCCTGGGACGCTTCAGCCAGTGATGGCAAGGCTCCCACGAACAACACTGTACACAGGACTCTTCTCAGCATCTTGGGAGAGGAGAGGTAGACCCAGGAACACTAGAGGACAGAATTAAAAATGAAAATCTGTCAATCCATGTTATAACACTGCAAATCACAATGCAAGCCTTTCCATGGCTGAAGAGCCAGGGGACTTCTGCTTGGATCCTCCACCCAACAGCCTCCCCTCCATAACCTGAATCACTGTAGCAACTGGGGCTCTTGAAAAGACTGCAGCCTCCTCATGCAAACCAAGAAGTGGAAGAGAGCGTGTGCCTCTGGTCTTTCAGTATTGTTCTCACAGCTGAGTTAATGAGGGGGTGTCAATGCCTTTAGACAGTGAAACTGAAATCCATTTTAATACAAATTTCCGAGCCGGCTACAAATGAACGCACGTGCCTGAAAATTAAGTACTGCTTTCAACAACCTCCTGACTGGGAGTTGGCTCAAAGGGTATTATGTTGTCGTGGCATTGCTTCATGTCAATATTGTCATAGCAGCTCAGAAACAAGCACAACCACTGGCAGTTCCAGCACACAGGCTCTTCTTTAATACACTCTCATGAACGGAACTGAATTAGGTTCTAATGAGCTACTGAGAGACAAATGGTCTGATAATCAAACAACACAGGGGAAGTTGAGTCCTTAAAACTGAGTCTAGACATGAGCCAGTCTAGATGCTGTCTCATGATGGTTGTGTATGGGGCCAGGAGACAATGTGGGGTTTGTGTTCTGCCTACTGCAACTTTCCACCACTGAAGAGTATGTGTCAGCACCCGTTTTGGCCTTCTCCACTCAGTCTCCATTCAAACCACTGCAGCCAGTAGCAGCTGCTCTCCCTGACCAAAAAGCCTCTTTGCTCATTCTTATTTATTCCTTTTTCTCTAGTCCAAAATAAAGTTGGTTTTAAGAAAAATAACACATTTAGTTCTTATACCTAGAAACGTGTCAATGACTTTACATCTCAAGAGAGATAATCCAAAACAAGTGAATAAACCATTGTGCTGCTCTCATTACATCAAATATTATTTCAGAAGCTCTTACACTGGCTATCTCGTTCCCTTAATGTCATCTTCTGAAGTTGTGTTTAGTTGGAGCATAGCCTTCATAGAACACAAGATAATTAACTTCTTTAAAAATTTTTGGTTCTGGTCAATAAATTTACACCTTTTAATTTGACCTGTGTAAGAAAACCAGTCATTTTTTGACAGTAAGAGGAAAAAGTGCGTGGCTTTTTTATACTGGTTCAGTTGCAGTTTCACTAGGCTTTGCACTGGCATGATTACACCATTATAAAAACGCAGTTTCCTGAGCATACAACTGAGAAATGGATCCTGGGTATGAGAATGAACATGACCATCTTCCCCTTCTGCAGGCAGCGACTAGACAGAAAAGTGTCTCATCAGATTCACACATTCACAGTCAGCTAGAAAACACATCACTGGCTCCATTGCTCCAGTTACAGCTGTACATATGCCCTACGACCAAAAGCTGTTAGCTTTTACCTACCCAGACTTACTCAGGACTGGTTTTCCTAGACAGGAGTAAAAAGGCCTGGTCCTTGCTCTCCTTGAACAGCAGAGGGATGAAACGCAGATCTTGTCCTAGCTCTTTACTGATTCTCCCCCTGGAAAGCTCTCAGAAAAGTCACTCTTTCATCACTAAATCAACACTAAGTCAGCTAAAGGATGTGGATAACTAAATAAAAATAAGGAAATCCGGAACGTCTCTCTCTATCTGCAGCTTGAAGTGTTCTTCATAAATCTCGCGTTTTTCTCCCCAGCAGACTCACCTGAGTAATACAGGAACTCTACAGAGACTGCAGTGGCAAAAGTAACTGGAAACTTGTCTTCTTCACAGCCGCTCCAGAGCGCAGATCTCTCTTCTCCTGTGACTGAGTGTACAGCAGACTCTGATCAATGTAAGATACGGCAGGTTGTACCCTTTCTGATAAATGGGAGGAAAGACCCAATTACAGCAAAGAAAAAATAAACGTGCCTGTGCCAGCAACGTCACAACACACCCCAAGCTCTTACCCCGTGCACGTTGGCTGTGCTAAAGCTTTTGGCTGCCATTTGTGAGCAGGCAAAATGCAGGTGTATGTGGCAACCCTTGCTCCCGCAGTGTTTTCCTAACTGCCCTGCTTTGCATGTGAGCTCAGCTCGATGCTGAAGGTCTCCAGCTGAGACCCTAGTGAGCCTCCCCCGAGCACTCCAGCTCTCAGGAGAAAGAGCTTCCCAAGACTGCAACCCCAATGCAGTGAGAAGGGGGCAGTTTTAGTGACCCTCCCCTCGGACAGCAGGACAGCATCTGGGCGATGCTGCTACACCCAGGCTTCCCTCTCACTGGTCAGTTTTTGTAGCAGCTCCCCAGCTTTTCCTTCCCCCTTTCCTGCACAGAGATCACACAGCAGCTGAGCATCAGTTTACCCACCACAACTGCAGCCTGCTCTGCTCTGCCACTGTGCAAGGAGCCAGCCTCCGTGCTCCCCACAGGGCACATCACCCCCTCAAGAGACAGCCCACTACCTGTCGCTCTTCTCCCAAGAGCTTCAACAAGGTACGCTGTAGTGTGTAAATCTAACTCGTATCACCTCTCCCAGCCTTCTGTTGTGACTGCCTCCTGTCCCTCCCTTCTTGCTGGGCTATTTAAGCTCCACGTACTCGCTTCAGGAATCCAGCAAATAGTGCTGGCAATTGCAGAGGAGCAGAAGCATGGCTCCTAAGATTCTGCCTGCAGTATAAATAATGATTTTAAGCAGAGGTTTGGTTTTCCTTCCCCCACTGTGTGGTTATAATGCAGATAACCAAGTTTCTCAGTGCAATAAAGTAATATTTACACTTGCTTGAGCAACCTTGATTCCAGGAACCTACAGAAGTTTGACATACTGCCCGTTGCACCTTGGCAGGCTGCAGGTACTGCGATGCCCTACGGAGACCACAGCTAAAGAGCAGGTACCTGCTATGGAATGGGAAGGGTTTGGGTGGGTCATTTTTTTTCCATGTACCCAAGGAAATAAGTGAATTAGCCAAGTAGTTTCCTGGCAGATTCAACTACACAGTCACATGTATTTCCAAACCAACTGAAAACCAGTTTCACAACACTCCCAATTGCAAAATATTGTGCTACACTGCCCCGAATAAGCACGGTAAACCCAGGGATGTTTGTTTACTGCTTTCATATCAGATAATCACTACTGTTCACACTAAAAAATAAAAATCCCCTACCCTGACAGAACAAAGTTACTCAGGCTTCAGGAAAAGTCTCCTGGGCCTGATCTCTATAAAACACTCTAAGCTTAACCTGCAGTAAGTGTAAGCAAAGACACTGCATTCCCTTGCACAGTCATTGGGGTTCCAGCCTGACGGGAGCTCATTTCAGGTCTTTGAGTTCACCTGCTGTACGGAAAACTGAAAAAGATCTTTTTTGTTACTGCTACATCCCCACTGAAAAGTAATTAACAGATGTGTGGCCACATGCAGCCTGGTCCGGGGTCCTGCAAGGCTGTGCACGTGTAACACACAAAGGGAAGAGCTACCGAGATTCTTTGAGAATCAGGAAAAACGTATTGGTCTTCTGCGTGTACAAACATCAGAGCAGGAATGATCTCACTATCAGCTCCTGGAAAGATCAGAGGCTTAATGTGGGGACTCACATGAAAAGCCGAGAGGCAGGAACGAGCGCTCGGCCTTTCCCGGGAAGCATCCACTGACGGAGCCTCACTCCAGGCCCTGGAGCAGGGGGAGGACGGGTCCCAGTGAGAACAAGGGCCGCGGTGCGTGGGC